CTGGTGCTTCATCCAGTCTGGCATTTCGCATGATGTACTCTGCATATAAGTTAAATAAGTAGGGTGATAACATACAGCCTTCACGTACTCCTTTCCCAATTTGGAACCAATCCATTGTTCCATGTCTGGTTTAACTGTTGCTTCTTGACCTGCATACAGATTTCTCAGGAGGCAGGTCAGGTTGTCTGGTATTCCCATCTCTTGAAAAGTTTTCCACAGTTTGTTGTGATCCACAGAGTCAAAGGCTTTGGCGTAATCAGTAAAGCAGTATATGTTTTTCTGGAATTCTCTTGCTTTTTCAATGATCCAATGGATGTTGGCAATTTGATCTCTGGTTCCTCTGGCTTTTCTAAATCCAGCCTGAACATCTGGAAGTTCATGGTTCACATACTGTTGAAGTCTGGCCTGGAGAATTTTGAGCATTACTTTGCCAGCGTGTGAGATGAGTGCAATTGTACAGTAGTTTGAACATTCTTTGGCATTGCCTTTCTTTGGGATTAGAATGAAAGCTGAACTTATCCAGTCCTGTGGCCACTGCTGAGTGTTCCAAATGTGATGGCATATTGAGTGCAGCACTTTCACAGCAGCATCTTTTAGGATTTGAAACAGCTCCACTGGGATTCCATCACCTCCACTAGCTTTGTTTGTAGCTTCCTAAGGCCCACTTGACTTCGCATTCCAGAATGTCTGGCTCTAGGTGAGTAACCACACCATCATGATTATCTGGGTCATGAAGATATCTTTTTTGTATAGTTCTTATGTGTATTCTTGCCACTTCTTCTTAATATCTTCTGCTTCTGTTAGGTCCATACCATTTCTGTCCTTTATTGTGCTCATCTTTTTTTTAATATCACTCAGGGTGATATATATTTTTTAAAATATCACTCAGGGTGATATTCAAAACATTTAAGAAATAGTACGGGGTGGTGGGCCCAGGAAGGCTCCTGCAGGCACTGGCCCTGGTGCTGAAACAGGATGTGCTGAGTATCCTTACTGAGCCAGATTCTACTCTGAAGGAGAAGCCAGAGTGGGTATTGTGTGTGTATTGGGGCACATCATCTCAACAATATGGACATATTTCAGTATTTTAACAACCAGTATAGCCTCACATGGGCATGCCAGCTGAACATCAGCCTAGTTCTCTCTGGAAGGACTTGTGAGATGTGATGTGGTTTAATAATGAGCACATTGGTTTGCAGTGGGAGACCAGGTTTGAGTCATATCTGGGTCTCTTGTTAGTTATATGACCTTTAACAAGACATGAACACTTCTGTTGTCTCCAAATGAAGGAGTTTCACCATGTTGAATCTAATGCTTCTTCTTGCTCTAAAATTTGAGGAAACAAAGCAATAAAAGTGGCCAAAGGAGTGGGTTCCAAACCTGAACTGTTTCTATTGCATTTTGTGTTTATGTCACAATGATGCCTCTTCCACATGTAACTTTCTCATTCAAGATTAGCCAAAGAAATGGATTTGGGGGAAGGATCTGAAAAAACAGACATTTAATTTTTGACTTGAGGAGCATGGGGAACATTGTAGAATTATGGAACATGTTGGATGAAAGAGACATAGATTCAGATCCTGATTCGGCCACAGCTGTGTTCATTTCTTCATTCATCCATCCATTCCCTAAATGTTTTTTGAGCCTCTATCATGTTTTGGCCACTGTTCTGGCTCTGAGGATGGATTAAAGAATGAAGTAAACTCCTTGCTGTCTTGGAGCTTACATTCTATGTAAGCAATTAATTTAACCTCTTTGAGCCCATGTTTTGAACTCGAGTTTTCCTACCTGTAAATCCTTCAATAGGCAATGGCATTGTTACTGCTATTTCCCGTTTAATGCCTATGACAATCATCACAAATCAATTAAAGCACTCCAAGCAGCCAGTCAGTTACTGGAGGATGTTATTTATCCTGGGCTAATATTTTATGTTGATGCATTTTATGTAGATGAATTCTCAAGTCTTTCCCTACTCCAAAATTTTTCATTCTTACTTAGTTGTGTCTGACTCTTTGTGACCCCGTGGGCTATAGCCCACCAGGCTCCTCTGTCCATGGAATTTTACAGGCAAGAATACTGGGGTGGGTAGCCATGCTTTTCTTCAGGGGAATCTTCCCAATCCAGGGATCAAACCTGGGTCTTCTGCATTGCAGGCATGTTCTTTACTGACTGAGCCACCAAGGAAGCCCAATTTTTCATTCTTATTCATTATTTCTAATGAAATGGGAAGACAATATTGTACTGAGGGAAAATAATAGAACTCCAAATCATAGAACTATTATTAAAGCTACAGATTTTACAAGAAAACCATCATCACTTTGGTTTTGTTGGACAGAAAAGATATGTGTTATTGTAAAATTATTTTAGATCTTTGGGTCTTAGATTTTCCCTCCACAGTCTTTTGCTGCAAGTTCTCCTATTCAACTAGCTTTACTTTGATCCCTGGATAAAGGAAAGGCTCATCAACATTCACTTTTGACTCCTTTCGCTTTGGAAACCTCCTTTATGAAACCTCCTTTTACTGTAGTCAGGTGGGGCAGAATCAAATCCTGCTCATTCTGATAAATTTTTCTACTATATACTAGATAACTCAACAGCAATCACCAGCAGAAGGCTTCCCAGGGGGCTAACGTGGCCAACTGGTCTCTTATGTTTTGCTCACCACAGTGGAAGCCGGCCAAGTTTGGGCTGATATCAACCTCTTGGTCAGTTTTTTCCCCTGGATTCTGAAGACACCCTTGTAGTATTTCCATTTCTAATCCTCTTTCCTGGCTCCCATAACTGACCATCGTGTCCAACGTGCACACATCGAGCTCAAATTGCAAAGAAAAAAGTTTGAAGTATTTCTGTTGGAATTAATAACTCCACCCTTTGGGGTTTCTAAATGTATCTCTGAGACTATGAAAACATTGCTCTTATGATTTCCAAGTTATAATGAACTAGGGGTTCATTATATAGTGAAGCATTTTTCCCCAAAGAGGAATGAGAGCTGGGGTGTCCTCTATCCCAGGCTGAGGCTCCTATAATTTTTGCCAATACTGTCATTTGGTAACTTGCCCAGAGTCAACTCTTCCCTCTCTAAGAAGACCAGGAAAACAGATTATTGCCTCCATTTAAATAGACCTTAAGATCAAGGAGCATTTTAAGAAAGAGAAATGATGATCTTTATTTCTAGGTTGAACTCAGTGAATTAATTTTTCTTTGAAGTGGAGTGGAGTATGGGAAGTAAAAAATCCATACTAACCTTGTAGACCTTAAATACAGATGAAATAACTCAGTTTTCCCTGTAAGATTTGTTACAGATACTCCTCTTTTCTAGAGCCACAGAACTCTCCCACATGTGCAAAGTAAAGTGGAAGACTGTCTAGTTTTTTTGTTTTTTGATTCTTTTTTAAAAATTAGTTATTTTTAATTGAAGGTTAATTGCTTTACAGTATTGTGTTGTTTTCTACCAAATATCAATATGAAACATCCATAGGTTTACTCATGTCCCCTCCCACTTGAACATCCTTCCCACCTCTCTCTCCATCCCACCCCTCTAGGTCATTTCCAAAGACTCTAGTTTTAAAGGGTATGGTGTTTTGCCATAACAAAAGAAACCATTCATTATACACAATTCCACTCGTTTCACAACAATTTCAATATTTAATAGAAGATTATTTAGCTTAATTTCAATATGCAGTCATTAAAAGAAAAGAAATAGAAGCAGTAGAGAGAAGTGGTAGCATATGTATCACCAAATTGGGCCGAAAGCTACATCCAGACTTGAACCGTGCTGGGAAGTCCTGAATGACAGCAGTCTGCAGTCCTAGCTGGGAAAAGGGTCCTGGGCCGTGTGTTCACTCCGCAGGTAAGAGTTCAAATTGCAGTTTTCGCAGTTCTCACTTACAACCTTGGGCTGCAAACTGATATCATCATCGGTTTGCATGCAAAAATGCAGCTCTGGTTTTTCTTTAACTTTTACAATTCTCTTTGTTTCACCTTGTGAGTCAGAAGGCTTCTTAGACCCCAAGTGAAAAAGTGAAAGTTGCTCAGTCTTGTTGGACTCTTTGCAACCCCATAGACTACACTGTCCGTGGAATTCTCCAGGCCAGAATACTGGAGTGGGCAGCCATTCCCTTCTCCAAGGGATCTTCCCAACCCAGGGATCGAACCCAGGTCTCCCGCATTGCGGGCAAATTCTTTACCAGCTGAGCCACAGGAGAAGCCCTAGGGCGCTCAAGAAATTCCAGGACCCACTCCCTTTCTTATCTAAAGTGCAACTTTATATGTATATATATATATATATATATATATATATATATATATATATATATATTAACAGCAGCGTTGACCATAGTAAATGCTACTTAAGTGCTAACTGTTAGTATTATTGGAAAAGACACTGATGCTGGGAGGGATTGGGGGCAGGGGGAGAAGGGGACGACAGAGGATAAGATGGCTGGATGGCATCACCGACTAGATGGGCACGAGTTTGAGTAAACTCCGGGAGTTGGTGATGGACAGGGAGGCCTGGCGTGCTGTGATTCATGGGGTCGCAAAGAGTTGGACACGACTGAGCGCCGGAACTGAACTGAACTGAACTGTTAGTATTATTACACAAATTCAAAATGCTTTTCGTAGCATAGACAGGCAGGATGTAAGGTGGTTAAGCACATAGAATCTAAGCTGGAAACTTGAAATTTCATTCTACTACTTATTAGCTCTGTTACCTTAGGCAAGTTATTTTCTCTCTACATACTGCAGGCTTCTCCTCTGTAGAGTGGGACTAATGAAGACTCCCCTTTGTAGGGTTGTATGGACATGAATTGAGATAGTTCTGCAGAGTGCTTCTTGGGTGCCTGGCATATATTTAGTGTGCCGTAAATGTTTGCTGATATTTTCAGACGATTCACTTAAATGTTTGATGGGAGCTAGGCGTTAGGTTCCAGAAAGAATGTGATGTCGAAAGCCGTGTTTTTCTGGAAATAATTAAAAGGCAGCTGTCTTGCTGTTTACAGATGTGGTTACCCTCCTGGGATTTCTCTATGCCTCCAGTGGAGAAAACACAGGCATTGTGAAGAAGTTCCTGAGATTTCAGAATCGAGAGCTGGAGGCCACTCGACGCCAGCGGATAGATTACCCAGTGTAAGAAGGGGCTGGTGATTGGGGGGGCCAGTGCGGCCATAGTGTTCTTTTTATCTGAGGACCAGGGCAGGCTGATCTGACTCACACACTTAGTCACTCAATCATGTCTGACTCTTTGTGACCCCAAGGACGGTAACCCACCAGGATCCTCTGTCCATGGGATTTTTCAGGCAAGAAATACTGGAGTGGGTTGCCATTTCCTTCTCTAGGGGATCTACCTGACCCAGGTATTGAACCTGCATCTCCTGTGTCTTCTGCATTGCAGGCAGGTTTTTTTACCCACTGAACCATCTGGGAAGTCTAGAGCAGGCTAGTGGACCCACTTAGGAGGACCTACCTCTGTATTTACGCTTTGAGAAAATGATGAGATCTACATAGCTTAGGCAGAATTGTGGACCCAGAAACTTTAATGCATTTGGAAATCATTCCCTCACTTAGCAATCCTCAGTTTGCCTCTGAATGACTGGTATGCCAGTCCTGGGAATGACCTAAGTAAGGGAGTCAGGTGTTGGAGCCTGAGGCTTTGCAAGGTGTCAGGTGCAGCCAGCCACAGCCCTGCCAGATTGCAACCTTTGCTTTGCTTTTTCTGCCTTGAAAGATTGGATGAGCTGCTTGAAATCTCACAACTTCTGATCTCCTCCATTGATTTCAGCAAAACCCAGATATATATATTTTTTTCTTCTGCTGAATTGAAGATGCTGAAAATGGTTCGTGGTTCACCTCAGACCGGATGGATTCAGCAGAGTGATTTAATTCTTCCCATGCTGCTGGCTGTAGAAAGATCTTGAGTCACTTTACTAAGCGTATGTTCTTGCTAAGCTTCCTTGTAATAACTTATCTTCATGAGCTTGCTCAGCTGGGTGGGTCAGGAGGGAGCTGTGTGGCACCATCTGTTTGTATATCTTATCACTGATTTGGAGGCCAGATTATAAAGCCCAGAATATTCTAATATTCTAAGGTCTTGTTGGGATGAATCCCCAAAGAACCTGGGGCCACTGCCACTGTAACCCAAACTGTGAATTGGTTTTTGGGAAAACGGAGAGCATTCTCTGTACTGGTTTTGACTTTGATTCATGTTTAACTCAGAAAACACAATTGCTCTCAGCTCATCTTTAAACTGCTGGTCACTAACACAATGTGTGACATCAAGCAAGTGTTCAAACAGCAAATATTTGTTGAATGATTGGTGGATCACAAAGCTTGGCTAAAATATTTCCTCTTGAAGTTGACTACTGTTATTTTATCCTCACTTGGCAAATCACAGATGGACAGTGTATTTTTTTTCAACTAAAATAGCCTTTGTCCAGAAATGGAACAATTAGAGTAGTTGCTCCATATCGGTCAGCCAGAACTGTGATACCAAACAACCTCATGTGTGCATTAAAATAGTATCTCTGGGTCCTATTAGCATATGGCAATGCCATTTGCAGATTATGGCTTTAGGGCTTTTATCTTTGAAAGAAACGAAATTGCTCAAAAAGCCCTAATTATGTTTTTTTTTTAATCATTGAAATTAGAATATCTTCTTATCAAATCACCTCTTATTAAAACCCAGATTTTTAGTCTGTGTCTGGCTTTATAAGCCTTAATCAAGTATTCAAATGGCAGGTCCGTGTGATTCTCAAAAAGGCATAGGAAGAGTTTTTGGTGCAAGGTACAGTGTCTGCTAGTTTTGTACAGTGACGCTTAACTCCTGTCTTTTGCAGTTACTATAACTACCTCCTTTGTTTCTAAAATCAAGTTTTGCAAGCGGATCTCCCAAGATGAGCATGAAGGCAAATTCATCCCTTCAGTGGAAAAAAAGCAATTTACTTGGTCATTGTTAACTATAATTACCTGTTCTTGGATGATATCAATCTGCAGAATTTTTTTTCTCCTCACTCTTGCAGGTTTACTGTTTCATTGTGGCTTTATTTACTCCATTATTGCAAGGCCAATCTCTGTGGGATTCTGTACTTTGTTGATTCTAATGAGATGTACGGCACACCTTCTATATTTCTTACTGAAGAGGGTAAGTATGAAATAGAATCTTTAGAAAGATAGTGTGGTTTTCTTATGCTCTGTCTTTTGGCCGATATGTCTTTCTAGAATAAGGAATGTTGTCATTGTGGCAATGCAGTAAGAATGATGGTTTCCAAATATGGACTTCAAGTTCAACTTTTTCTGGAAGCTTAAAACAAACATTTTCAATACAGATGAATGCACTTAGGTGTTTTTTGTTGTTTTGTTTCGTTTTGCTTTTATTTAAAGGAAGAAGGAATATGATCTAGTCATAGCTTTTTTGGAAAATCACTGAAAAGATATAGCCACTTTCTTCACTTCTAAGTATTCTTTGTCATTTTCACAAACTTTTGTTTTCTCTTTAGGCTACTTGCATATTCAAATGCATCTTGTCAAAGGAGAAGATCTTGCTGTAAAAACGAAATTCACCATACCTTTGAAGGAGTGGTTTCGCCTGGATATCTCTTTTAATGGCGGCCAGGTACCAAGAGCATGTTCCATCATGAATCATATCAGCACCGTCACTTAACTTAAGCATCGCTGTAAAGTCAGGGAGCTAGGAAATCTGCAAAAACAAATTTGTGGTAACTGATCAACTTTTACAGCCATAACACCTTTTTTTAAATAAAAATTTTATAGTTGGAAGCTTAAATCATAAGCATTCTATCCCATTTAACTAACTTTTAAAGTGCTTTTTTTGACTATATTGTGAATGAGTAAATAATACATCTAGCTATAAAACCACAATTGTGTAAGCAATTCAAGCCTTTTTTCCTAGCAAGATAGGCTTTGAGGAGATAAATGGTAAAACAGCCTTGGCCATATTTATATAGTGTTATCAAATCTACAACTTTTTTATAGGAAATACATTGGTTAGCTCAGCCAAGAAATGGTTTGACTGTTTTTGGCAGTGAAAACAATTGCTTGTGTTTGACATTAAACAAATAATAACCAACAAACCTGAGTGATAATTCTTGTGAGGCAGACGTTCTTTATCTACTTTGTACTACAAAACACTGCACATAACAGTTTCAAGCACTTATAACAGATTTTATGGATTATGGCAAACCTCTTGTTATTATTGAAGATAATTCCATTCCTTTATATTGTTATATATGATATTGGTGTACTGCCTTTTTTCTGGTTACTTTCTTATCAGCTTTTCTTACTGATTTGTGATTTTCTGATAACGAAACTGGAAAAGATGTTTTGTTTGTCTTCTGTGTTAGAGCATACACAGACCTCCCTTGGTGGTTAGGTTTATCACATTTCCTTTTTCTGAAGAGAAGAGAAATTGGGTCAGTCCTTGTAGCTTAACTGAGGAGAGTCTGGGAGATCCTAGCTGGCATTTTTTGTATGTTTGCTTCCTTAATGTTGTTAGGTGACATTGCTTCAGCCCGAGTTTTAGCGTCTCATTTGCACGGAGATTATGATGGCGTTATAGCTTGGTTGCCGCTTTCTCTTAAGGTCAGCTCAGTACCTTATAGCACTTAGGTATCAAATCATCAGAGCAAATCACAGACCTTATTTTATACCTGCTGTATGCCAGGCACTATGATCAAGGAGCTTAGAGACTATGCAAGTCACATAGAGCAGGTAAAGGGGTGTCATAAGGTGAGCCTAATTGCCAAATGATTCATAGTCATTTGAGAAAGAGAGACATCCAACTTCATGCTGGGATGTTCAGGGAAGGTTTCCTAAAGAAGGTTCCTACGGATGCGGGACAGTTTAAATGGAGAAGCAAAGAGAGGGTATTTTAGCCTGTCATTGAATGCTCACTTCCAATTTCTTCTTGCCATGCAGCATGGCGTCATTGAAGTTTTTTAAACAGAGGAGTAAATCAAAGTAATCCTTTAACTAATGGCAGAGTATATGATTGGGTAAAGCAGGAGAGAAGAGCTAGGAAAACCAGATGGAGTAGAAAGAAAAAAAAAAAAAGCTAGATTTTTTTTTTTTAGTAGACATTCACCATTTGCCCTTTTTTCTTTGCATCCCATCTGCTCTCCCTGATACCCATAGGTTCCAAAATGATACTTAATTGTTTTTCTACAGAAAATCCAGCTCTATGGTAAGACCATTATATTCATTGCTTTGACTAAATGGACACTTTGGCCTAAAGTAAATGGTTGGTTTAGAAAAACAATTGGTCTGAGTCATTTTTTTTCTCTGAAACAACATGGTGTCTATGGCTGAATTGGATTGCTTTATCTGGCTTAGCTTTTCTTTCAGAGACATGGTGTTGGAGCTACATGTTTGAGAATCTAGTTAAGCCAGAATGTGTTTTCCAAACACTTGCTGTCTGGTAGCACTGGGGAGTCAAAGAGCCCCCTAACCTTAAGGGCTTATGTTGTAGTCCAGACACGAGAAGAATGCATGAAAGCTAACAACATTCATGATGAAAACATTGTCATCACTGACGTGATGGTGACGATTCTTGGTGCTGAGCGAGAGCAAGTGGGAAGCTGTAGTGTTTGAAGAATGTTCATTCCCAGACTTGTTTTCCCCGCTAAGGCTCTCCTGGAATCACAAGTCCAGGTCAAGGACTCCTCGTAGTCTCTTGCACCTTTCTTTGTCTTTCTGTGCAACAAGCTTTCAAGCACGAATTCACCAAAAGAGTCTTTTGACCCAAAGTTTGGAAGTGTCTGCAACCCCCTGGGGGAAACTGCATTAGAGATATTTTTATCATCTCAAGTCATTTGGAGAAAGTAAATTTTTTAAGTCTCAAAATATACATAGGGTTAGTAAACTGCTATTTTGTTTTTTTGCAGAAACTGATCAAACAAAAGACCATGAAGCATATTTTATGAGTAACTCATCCCCAGGACTGTATGTATCGTGTGGGGTCTGGAGGCATTACTAATCCTTATGTATTTCTCCCAACATAGATAGTAGTAACCACCAGCAGTGGGCAGGATTTGAAAGACTACCATAATCAGACAATTAGGTAAGTGTTGCTTTTCATTTGTGTCAAAATTTTCTGGATGAGGGTGAAGGAACCTTCCTGTGTTAGCCCAGCACCCATTATTCCTACCCCATCTGATTCAGCTTTTCCAAGCATGGATTGTAACTAGTCTACCTTGAAGTTAATCTTTGTACTTTCTTTTTTCTTTTTTACATGCCCACAAACTCTCCTTGTTTTCCCCACAACCTTCTTTCTTTCTTTTTCCCTAGCAAGAGAAACTAGTTCTGTCTCCAGATCTCATTGTAAATTCTTCCTTTCATAGCTCTGCATAATTCGTGTTCTTTGAAAATTATCGTTCACAAAGGATTCTAGAAAGCAAATCAAAGTATTAATGTTGCTTGTTGGGAGGGGTTGATAACTTTGACTTAGTGTAAAACATAAAAGCAGACAGCCTTCGTATTTATGTTTATAATCTAAATTTGAAATGTATGTAACTATTGATATTGGGCTAACTTTTCATCTTTACATAATCATTCTCTACAAGAGTTACAGAAACTGAGAATTGGGTCTTTTTCCTTGTATGTCATAATTTTAACTTGCTTCTGCATCCCGGATTCAGAGTTGGGTTTATAGTGGTAGAGCCATGGGGCATGTGTTCTTTGGAACTCAGGATACCTCATCATGGCGCCGTGAAAGGAAGAATTTACAATGAGATCTGGAGACAGAAATAGTTTGTTCAGTTGCTCAGTCATGTCCAACTCTTTTGCGACCCCATGGACTGTAGCCCACCAGGCTCCTTTGTCCATGGGATTTTTCAGGCAAGAATACTGGAATGGGTTGCCATGCCCTCCTTCATGGGATCTTCCCGATCCAGAGATTGAACCTACGTCTCCTTCATTGGCAGGCGGATTCTTTACCACTAAGCCTCCTGGGAAGCCCCTGTATGTGTGTGTGTGTGTGTGTAAAACAGAAACAAAAATTAGTAGCTTTGTATTTTGTATGTATAATTTTAAAAAGCTTACCAGAGGAATTCCCTGGCACTCCAGTGGTTAAGACTCTGGACTTCCTCTGCACCAGGCACAGAATTAGTCCCTCATCTGGGAATTAAAATCCCGCATGCTGTGTTGTATGCCCAAAAGAAAAAAAAAGAAAATCAGGACTGTTGGGCACTTTGGCTGAGGGGTGGCAAAGTGGTTCATTCCTTCATCCTTTAGTTATTTCACAACACCAAGCATAAAATGTCTCTCCAAACAAGCTCTGTTCACTCAGAGTCCCTGAGCAGTCCAAATTTTCTTGGAAACCAATTATTAAAGAAAGGAAAGCAAAGAGGGCTGATGACAGCAGAATAGGGATCATACACTCTACTTTCCTCCCCCACCATTTCTCTTTACATTTAAATCAAACAATTATTTCAGGCCCTGGGCACATAGAACAATTCTTATGTCCATGACCAGATGAATGGATTAGAGTTACCCACAGAGGCTAAAGCAGTGGTATTCCTTAACTTACAAAGAGAAAGTCAGGGGTGACTGGACGGCAATATTGAAGCACAGAGGCCAAGATCTTAGGACAGAGCAGAAGTCCCAAGGGCACCAGGTGGATTTAGACCAGTCAGGAAGATTTCAATAGATAGGAGTTTTGTTACATAATGGGCGACCACGGGCTCTTCTATGAAGACTTTGAGAATAGGAAAGTCAGGGAGTTTACTCTGGAGAAACAGATGATGTGTGGCCCCTTTGGAAATCTCTTCAAGCGCCCTGTTCTGCCCCAGAAATGTTTTTTAAAACTTATTTACTTATTTGTGTTTTTCGGCTGTGCTGGGTCCCCGTTGCTGCGTGGACTTTCTCTAGTTACGGCGAGTGGGGGCTATTCTCTAATTGCAGCGCTCGGGCGTCTCATCTCCGTGGCCACTCTTGTTGGGGACACAGGCTCTAGGATGCACGGGCTAAAAAACTGTGGTGCACAGTTGCCTGTGGCATGTGGAATCTTCCTGGACCTGGGAGCAAACCTGTGTCCTTTGTGTTGGCAGCTGGATTCTTAACCACTGGACCACCAGGGAAGTCCTGACCCAGAAATTAAGAGTTTGTATTTCAGGATGTAGAGTCTAAAATAATACCTGCCCTTTCTCCCCTGACACCCATTTCCAACCTCAGACACTTTTGACAACCAATTGAATTTCATAAGCTTTTCTTTTTTTTTCATTTTCTATGTCAAGGCTTCCTTTCTTCTGAAATCCCCAAAATGTAGCTGCTGACATGAGTGGACGAATCACAGTAAGATCCAGAGCTAGGACCGGGGTAAGGCGAGGAGGGCACTTTCCACATAAAATTTAAGGAGGCCCCCCCAAAACTTAGTGGTTATGTTATTTTGCCAAGGCTGCCAGAACACAGTACCACAAACTGAATGACTTGTGCTAAGTCACTTCAGTCGTGTCCGACTCTTTGCGCCCCCCTGGACTGCAGCCCGCCAGGGTCCTCTGTCCATGGGATTCTCCAGGCAAGAATACTGGAGTGGGGTGCCATGCCCTCCTCCAGGGGATCTTCCCACCCCAGGGATGGAACCTGTGTCTCTTACGTCTCCTGCAATGGCAGGAGGGCTCTTTACCTCTAGCATCACCTCTTTAAGCAAGAGAAATTTATTGCCTTTCAGTTCTAGAGGTTGGAGGGCCAAGATCTAGGTGTTGGCAGAGCCACACTCTCTCTGCAGGCTCTAGGGGAAGAGCTGTTCTAAGCTTCTCTCCAGCTTCTAATAGTTCCTTGGCTTGTGGCAGCATAACTCCAATCCTCACATGACATTTTCCCTGCGTGTCTGTCTTTGTCCAAATTTCCACTTTTTCTAAGGTTTACCAATCGTACCGGATTAAAGTCCACCCTATTCTAGCACGATCTCATCTTAGCTAAATATATCTGCAATGATCATATATCCAAATAAGGTCCTATCCATACTGGGGGTTCAGATTCAACATATGCATTTTACAGGGGGCACAATTCAACTCATAACAATCTTCATAATAAATAACATTTAACACAGAGTTTTAAAAATCAGGATTAATGTAAAGAATCCTTGATGCACAAAGTAACACATTTTTCTTTAATATTTATTTGGCTGTGCTGGGTCTTAGTTGTGGCACGTGGGATCTTTTTAGTTGCTACATGTGAGATCTAGTTCCCTGACCAGGGATTGAACCCAGGCCCTCCACGGTGGGAATACAGAGTCTTAGCCACTGGACCACCAGGAACATTCACAAAATAACAAAATTTTAAGTAAAGACAGAACTGGTATGATCACATAGGATTCCAGAGTTCAAGACTGATGTTCAGGTACATACTAACTCAACATCCCAGTGAAAGCTTTGAAATGGTTCCTTACTTGGGCATACTGGCAGGATCCAGGCCCAAGACTGCCCCTCACCACCATCTCAGCTGATCATCCTATACTCCTGGGGGTACCCCCACTACCACCACCATCAATAGAACAACTAAAGAGTTAATCTTGGGTCCACCTGGGATTCTTGTGGTTAGATATTTTTGAAATATCATTTACCAGAGAGATTTCAGAATGGGCCAAGTCAGTACACTTTACACATCAAATATTTCAGGTGTTTATAGGTGTTCCAATGAAAGTCTCTTAGTCCTCCTTTTATTTGTTCTCATAATGTAAACACAATGATAGCTGTTATCCTACAAAAGTGGTGTAGGAAGATCAGTAATTAAGTGCTGAGAAGTACAGTCCTGCCCTGCATGAAAAGCTGCAGTGACAATGGCAGAACTGTCTGCTGTTGAATTCATTCATCCATCCATTTATCCATCCAGTATATATTCATTCATCCAACATATTCACCACATGCCTGACACAGTGCTGGATTCTGGGAATGAAACAATGAACAAGAATACAATCCGTCCCTGCCTTTGTGGAGCTAAAAATTCTAGCGCAGGGAAGACAGATTTTAAACAATTATATTCGAAGTGACACTTAAGATGAGAATTACTTTAAGGGGTAAGAGGCTCATTTGAGGCTCTAAGTTCCCCTGCTATGGAACCCTCAAGCCAAAGCTGTTCCCTAATTTTGAGCGAAGCCTATTTAATGATGGAGGCAATCCTTTCCCACTGCCGGTTCCTTCACAGTAATAAACCAGGGCACTCTCCTATGTGTAGATAAGAGTAAAGATAGCTTGCCAGCGTGTCTGATGCTTGCGTGCAGAAAGGACAGGCTTGGGCTTTCGAACCATCTAGCTCAGCTTTTATGTCAGCAAAATTGATGACCATCAAACAATGCACAGTGCAAGGAATTTCTTACAATCTCGATGCAGCCACTGAGAATGTTACAGAAGAAAAATGTGGAGGGAGATGGAACTGAAAGGATCTATTAGTTGTATTATAATAATGACAAAAAATTACAAGCTGGTACCACAGGGATAAAGCAATTTATTGATTAATTGAGAATTCAGTTAAAGCAAAGATCCATAAAAATATTCCATAAGCATTTTATTTTAATTGAAGCAATGGATATGTACATTCATTTGCCAGTCTTTCTAGTTACAGCTTTGCCTTTGAGTATGGATCTACTGATTGGAGTTTCTTGTGATCTTTCTGGCATAAATGGTACCCAATTTCTGTTTCTTCCAAATGAAGAGAAAACAAAGACACTTGTGAAACCATCGAAGCCCAAGATTCATCAAGATTTCTTCAGTTTCTTTTCTCAGCCTTTTCCAGCTGTCCTAATTCCATAAGAGCTTTTTTAGTAACCATTCTTTACTGAGTCTACCCAAAATATTCAACTTAATTTTTAAAGAATGAACATCTCTTTCTTCTCCATGCTTTTGGGATTACATAAGATTTAATTACATTGTAGGGTTACAATGACCAAACAGGTTTGGGAACAAACACATCTAATTCTTGGTAAGCACGAAAAAAAGTGAAAGTGAGTGAGAGGTTTCCCTGTTGGCTTGGACGGTGAAGAATCTACTTGCTGTGCAGGAGACAAGGGTTTGGTCCCTGGGTCAGGAACAAGGAGACAAGGGTTTGATCTGCTTGATGTGCAGGAGACAAGGATTTGATCCCTGGAGGAGGAAATGGCAACCCACTCCAGTTTTCTTGGCTGGGAAACCCCATGGACAGAGGGGCCTGGTGGGCTACAGTTCATGGGGTCCCAGAGTCTGACATGACTGAGCGACTGTCCCTTTTTCACATCTTACTCTTGGTAAGCATACAACTCAACAAATGGCAGCAAAAGTACGAGAGTGGACTAAGTTAATAATAATAACTGTAGTTAACGGTTATGGTGCCTACTATGTGCCAGGCATCGTTATAAATGCTTTGTTTAAATGCTAGTTTCTCCCAGTGACCTTGTGCGTGCATGCATGCCAAATCACTTCAGTTGTGTCTGACTCTGTGCAACCCTGTGGGCTGTAGCCCACCAGGCTCCTGTGTCCATGGGGATTCTCCAGGTAAGAATACTGGTGTGGGTTGCCATGCCTTCCTCCAGGGAATCTTCCTGACCCAACATTGAACCCACATCTCTTATGTCTCCTGCAATGGCACATTCTTTACCACTAGTGCCACCTGTAGATAGGTACTAATATTGTCTTCTTTTAAAAATGAGAATATGAGGGTTCCAGAGAGTAACCTCAGCTGGCTAGTATCCATTATGTTGCAGGGATGGGCCATGAGGTGAGCCATGAGTTGGTTAAGCAGAGTTCTGTCATGAAAGCTTCTACTTCAGAAGTGTTGCTTCGTGTCCATCAAGTGCTGGTATTACCTCCTCATGAGGGTAGTTGGAATGTTCAAATCTTTAAAGGGTCTTAAGAAGCAGAATCAGTTCACCACTCTCATAATAACTTTGTGGTCCTGCCTTTAAAAAAGAAGGAGAAGAGACCATCATCTTCTCAGGACCCTTCAATCCTAAGATTCTGGAAAAAGAAATAGCAGGCAATAGAGCATTTCTTTTCCACATTAGTTGCCTTTGCAGGAAGCTGATTTCTAAGTGTTCCCTCTGGCCGCCATAGGGTGATGCTGTCAGCGCCAATTTCTTCACCTTTGTGTCTTCCTTCCAGCCAGGAGTTCCTGCTCAGGGTCGGGTTTCTGGCTGACAGTCCGCCCGTCCTCTCTCCTGGGATGACCCCGGGTGGCCTGGCTTCTGTCTCAACTACTGGTGGCCGCTCTGTCCCGTCTGCTTCACCCTGGCCCCTTGCTCCTGGCAGCCTGCCTGACGCGCTGTGTCCTTCCCTTCTGCTGCCATCTGCCCTCCCTGGCAGATGTCGTCTCTGCCGGGCTTCTCACCTGATGCCTGCCTTGACCCCCCCTTGCTGTTCACATATGCTCCTATGGCACCTTGTCCACCCACACCTATTTTACTTTCTCAGTTGGTAGTAAATGCGCATGGTAGAAAAACCAAAGCTATAAGAAAAGGTCTACAGTTAGATGTTTTGCTTCTGTCTCTGCCCCCATCCACTCCATCCCCTAACCCTCATGCCAGGGGGAAATACTTTTTATTAGTTTCTTATATCTCTCTCTCCAGAGTTTTTGCAAATGCAGATACAAAACAATCCATTCTTCTCTTTCTTGGATAAAATGTATATGTATTGCTCTGCTCTTAACATTTAAATCTTTTTCACTTAACAGTGTATTTTAGATATTTCTCCAGAGCTTTTTGTTCTTTTTTAAACTATGTCATAGAAGAGCTCATAAAAAAAAAAAAAAAAAGAAGAGCTCATGCCTAAGACCCATTGAATGGTGTGGGTACTAGTCCTTACTGACAGACACCTGGACTTTTCCAGTCTTTGGTGGATGTAAACAACGCTGCCAGGAACAGTTTTGTTCATTTTATTCATGTCAACCCATTTTCCTCCTCCATTTTCCTTCCCGATCCTTTGAGTCTTTCAAGACAAAGTAGACTTCCAACATGTCATCTGAGCTGACGTCTTATCTTTGGCCAAGTCCTTTGACCTTGCTATGGCTTCCTTCTCCTAACTCTGAATTTGACTTTGGTTCTTGTCTAATAGGGTGTGTTTTTATTTTTCCCAAATTCACCTTCTGTCTACTCAACAAATTTTCTTTTTTTCTTTTAGAGTAAAATATTTCTATTTAAGATTAGCAATTGCACATAAATCCAGTTATTCTAAACAGTTTCACCAATATCAATAGTTGGCATGTATTGGATATTTATGGTGGGCAAGGCACTTTGCTACTAATCGATGCTGTATGTTTTCAGTAAAGAATTTGCCTGCAATTCAGGAGACCTGGATTTGATCCCTGGGTCAGGAAGATTCTCTGAAGAAGGGAATGACTACCTACTCCAGTATTCTTGCCTGGAGAATTCCCTGGACAGAGGAGTCTGGTGGGCTACGGTCCATGGGGTTGCAAAGAGTCAGAAATGACTAAGTGACTTAACACTTTTTCTTTCACTTTCATTGAATATTTATGGTGGGCAAGGCACTTAGCTATTAATAGATGCTGTATGTTTTGTCTTTGCATCTACTTAATCCTTTTACCAACCCAGTAAGAGAGGAATTATCATCTTTACTAACGAGAAGCCTAAATCTCAGAGAGGTTAAGCAACTGATCCAAGGTCACACAGCTGGTAAATAGCAGAGTTGGGATCTTAGCTCAAGCCTGCCTGACCCCACCATCATCTCATCTTCTTTAATTCAGAGTAAAGGGTTTGTGGAAATTTGGGGTTTTAAGTCAAGGAGGGTCAATCAAAGAGTCTTTAAAAAAATCTGTTCAAACCCAGAGGTCTCTTAATCCTTTGTACTTTTCTAGTTTCCGTGAGGATTTCCATTATAATGACACCTCTGGGTACTTCATTATTGGAGGGAGCAGGTACGTGGCCGGCATTGAAGGGTTTTTTGGACCGCTAAAGTACTATCGCCTCCACGCTCTGCACCCTGCACAGGTGAGCCCGGGGGACCAAGGCGTATTCGGGTGCTTGTGGGTGATGGGCGGGTGGCTCAGGATCATGGAACTCAGTCCAGTGCAAACAAAAGATTTATCCATGCCAGGCCTCGCGTCGGCTCTGTCACCAAACATAATTAATATTGAGGCTTTTCCCCCCTGCAAACGCAATAATAGATTTTTGTTAACGTTTGGTTCATTTAGTACTCATAAAATGGAAACCATTTACTTCCTCTGTTTTAATAACTAGTAGCTTAATTATAGAGTCGATTTTTATCAGGCTGTTGCCTATCCAGTGATTAAGCTAATGAAAGGAGAGAAGCTTAGTTATTTGGTAAAACTTCTTTTATATGCTATTATTTAAAGTATCAGAAGAGGAGACACTCCAGCAAATTAGACTTTTGGTTCTGCATACTGCTTTCTCCAGAAACAGGCCTTCAGCTGATACTGGGTGGGGTGAACTGCGGTGGCAGAGATCATAGAGGGCCCTGTAGTCAGAACTGAATTCTCAAGTCCAAAACCCACCCACAAATAGAATGGGATTGTCCAAGTCTCCAGGCCAGCTCCAGCAGGGCTAGCAGCTAGAGGAGGGCTGTCCCACATGGGAACCTTCGCCCTGGTTGCTTTTTGTGCTTTGGTAAGGAGATCGCTGGATAATACCTGAAAAAGGAATTTTTTTTTTTTCATTCTCATGACCTTGTGGAGTTTGTTCTGGGAAAATCAGGAGTTACTAGGTAAAATCAGTTAGGAAAAATGGGGCACTTTATCGCCCATGGGTCATCTTAGAGCCCCTGCTGAGAAATCTCTAGAAGAGGAAAAAAGTGAAATTCGTTTGTTCATTTGTGCAACCAGTACTTATTAATCACCTACTATGTGCCAGGCTCTATGCAAGATGCTGAGGCATCCAAGATGAATTAAGTTGGTGAATTTCAAACTTTTTTTTGAAGGTGATCTACAATTTTAAAAAATCTGTTTTAAAAGCATGAGCAGTACATACATATTCATACATATACAGTACCTATATATATTATATATATATATATATATGCATGTACGTACATACACATAAATGTATAAATACAAAACTGAAAGAAGAATTTTACTAAGAACACAGACCCTTGTTATGTTCAGTGTATTCTGATATTTTGTGTTCTGCTTCATAAAAAACAAAATCACTGCTGGTTACAAACCACTGAAATAATGTCATGACCCTCCAATAATGGGTCACAACCTGCATTTTGCATTTTGAAAACCACTGAGTTGAGATAAGACCTCTGGTCTTGAGGAGCTCCCTGCCTGGGTCTTAAACAGTTAAGTCATGAAAGAATGGGGTCTATGCTTTCATTTAGACATGAACACAGTGGGAGTGCTGAGACAGGCTCATCTGCTTGGGTACTCGTGTGAAAGTGGGTGGGCTGCTAGGGAGGCAGCCCTGAAGTGATGACCTTGGATCTAACTCTTAGAAGTTGAGCAGGAGCCTTACAAGCTGAAGAAGAGGAGAGGAGGGCTGCCAGGGAATAGGTGCATCACGGTTAGACTTGGTGACCTTTGGGAACTCTGGGGAGATGAATGTGATCTCTGGGGACAGAATGCAGCAGTGGGGAAGAAGAGAGCATGGAGATCTGGTCTCTGGGATATCCTAACATTTAAGAAGCTCTGCAGATGAGAAGATGCTACAAAAAAGAAGCTAGAGGGAAGCGATCAGAGCTGGCATGCCCTTCAATTCCTGGTAGCACCCTTTAGAGAATCCAGAGAGGACGATCTGTGTACAAACAAGCCAACTTGGGGCTATCACTGGGAGAAGGAAATCCAGCATAGGTATCCACGGGCGTTTGATGACAGTTGTTCCTTACGTTTTCTTGCCCTCTTGTAGATTTTCAATCCCCTCCTTGAGAAGCAACTTTCTGAACAAATCAAGTTATATTATGAAAGGTGTGCAGAAGTTCAAGAAATAGTGTCTGTGTACACATCCACGGTGCATCAGGGGGACAGGAGACAAGAAGCATGTAAGTATTGAACTTAAGGAGAGCAAGTTTTAGCTCTGGGCATTTGTATCAACATGTTTGGGTTCTTTCTGTGAGTGTGTTAGTCACTCAGTCATGTCTGACTTTTTTCGACCCTATGGATTGGGGCCTGCCAGGGATTCTCCAGGCAAGAATGTTGGAGTGGGTTGCCATTCCCTTCTCCAGGGTATCTTCCTGACCCAGGGATCGAACCCAGATCTCCCTCATTACAGGTGGATTCTTCACCATCTGAGCCTGAGAAGGCTTCTTCCTCAGCAGGCTGAAATAGAACACATGTGACTTGATCAGTGGGGACAAGTATGACCTCACATAGATTGATGCAAATGAAAGTGTACCTTCTATCTAGATCCCAACAGGACCAACACTCAGCAGGAACCCAAGGCTGCCTCATAGCTTCAAGCAGCTGTAATTTAGTTTAAGAATATAAATGAGAGTGTTTTGAGCCTCAAATTGTATTATTCCCATCCATAATGCGATCTTAGGCCAGTCTAAGAAAATAAAAATGAATTGGAAAATAAATTAATCATTAGAAATGTTTCCCCATCGGTGCACTTTTGTCTTGGGCCATTAATATCTGAATATTAGCTTTCAGAAATGTTGAACAATGGCTTTGTTGTTAGGGGCTGGGTTTAATTTTTTTAAATCCTTGAAATTGACTCATTCTGGAAGACATTGGTAATTTTTCAACAGAAGGAATGAATTTCAAATATTTTGAAATTCATGAATTTCATGAATTTCATGCTTGCCCATATTTGCATGGACATCCTTTCATTCATATGGAGGGTGTACCTGTTATAAAACTCATCCCGTCTTCCAACGTTCCAGCTTGGACCTAGCACTTACAAATTTCTCTGGCTATAGATCTTCTTGCATAGTATGGTGGCACTAGAGTTAGTCACATATGTTCCTTCTGGAAGAGAAATTCCTGTGGGACCTTTGCCATCAGCAAAAGCAAATTGAGTATTTCAGTCCCGCCAAGATATCGCACCATCCCCACAGCTGAACTTCCCATTTCAGGCCATGGAAGGATAGATTCCTCTTGCACAATACCCCATTCTGATAGGGTTCACATAAAATGGTCCTGGGAAGTGATTAGAGATGATGATAGGTAAGTGTGGAAAGGCAGCACTTCTGCAATTTAATTTAAGAATAGGCTATACTAGTCCCCCAGCTGCCACTTTCACCGCTGAATCATCCAGAAAATATGATGCTGTCAGAAGAGGGGGAAGATATATAGAATAGTAATATCCCAAACAGGAAAGAAACTGATTTTGATAGCTGATGTAATTTCAGGAGAGATACCCGGAGTCAGAAGGCTGGGTCTTGCATGCTGATCTGTGTGGTGGCATTGGGAGGACTTTTCTAACGTCTTCTGCTGCCTCGATTCCCTGGGGTCCCTGGGCTTTGCTCCTCGGCTCACACTGCCAACAAAATAGCCTAGATATTGGCCTCTAGGGGACCCGTCCGAGGCCAGCTGCTGATTCTGTAGAATTATTCAACAGCTATCAGCAACTTTGGCACATTTCCCTTGGACGAGGCTTTGAATTTGTGACCTTGAGGCAGAGGCATCGTAGCCAATTTCAAATCCCTGATGTATCCAAACCAATGTCCAGGAAGCTTAAGTCTGACGCCTTATTTCTGGTTCATCTTAGAGGAAGGGATTTAGGGAGGCAAGCCCTTCCCTCTAACAGTACCTGGGGCTTCCCTTTTCTGTAGGCAACCTCCGAAATTCCTACCTGGACCTAAAACTCAGATATGGGCGGCCCTCGACGTGCAGAGCCTTCCCCTGGGAGAAGGAGCTGAGAGCCAAGCATCGAAGCTTGTTCCAGGCTTTGTTGGAGCTGAGTTTGGTGACAGGTAATTGAGTCCATGCCTTGTCTTTGGACATGGGTAGAAAGGTCTCTGTTTTTCTGCTTTCCCTCACCTTCTTTAGTGATTTATGCCTTGAAATTATTTTTAACACTAGTGTTCTAGCTTAATTTCAAATTTAAATTCTGCCCTGGTATGTCCACCACTCTCGATATACCTGTGCACATTTGTGACACTAACTAGAAAAACTTAAATTTAGGAATCACTTGAGCAAGTCTTTATGCAAAGCCAGGGCCAAAAGCAAACAGCCAACAGCCAGACCTGACCCCCAAATGTGGTTGCTCTGGCATACACATTGTTGTCAGTTTTTTAAAAAATTAGTGAGCAGTGTCTAAAAACATATAAAAATACAAATTTCTAGCTTTTGTCAAAATATCCAAAGATCTGGCGATGCTGGGCCTCAATTCCTGAGTGGCAGTAAGCTCAGAGGTGAGTGGTTGGCACAGACGGGTTTTGTCCATCTGCAGCCCCTCCTGCTCTAGGTGAGCACTTCCTGTCTGCCTCCGTCATGGATCTCACCCCTGACTTGAAGTATTTGCAAGCGGCATTTCAAGAGTCTGTGTATATTTCCCACATGTGGCCAGCTTAGGTCCATTGCCATTATGGTTTGCATAGTAATTAAGCACACACTGTTAGACTCTGAGGGATCTGGAAACAGTGTCTGTTGGGAAGAGGAGAGAAGCCGGAGGTGTGCAGCCTGGGGAAGGAAATGATAAGGAGGGTGATGAGAACTATTTTAGTGACTCCTGAGAGCCTGTGGTGTTCCTGGGCATCCGATCAGACCCTTGAGTCAAGGCAATGCAGAAACTGATTTCTGCTTCGCTTAAGAACTTTCTAAAAATGGGAGCGTCCAGTGGAATAGATTCTCTTTGCAGATAGTGACTCACCCTCACCCCATCTTGAAAGAATTCAAACCATAAAAGATATTTCATCTTTGGCTCATTTGATATTTGCTGAGTGACTGCTCAGTTACTCGGCTAGACTGCAGAGTTAAGTAAAATAATTCAGGGTTTCTGCCTGTGAGGGACAGACTTGAAAGCAAAGAAAAATCGTCATATATTAAAAAAAAAATAAAAGCTAAGGGAGTAATTGACAACTGCACAAAGGGAGTGGTCAGTTCTACTTAGAAGTCTAGGGTATTCAGGGTAGGCTTCCTGGAGGAAGTGACACTGGGATTGATTTTCTCCTGATTTTATTTATTAATGTTTATTTTCGGCTGTGCTGGGTCTTCACTGCTGCACAAGCTTTGCTCTAGTGGTGGTGATTGGGGGCTGCTCTCTAGATGCAGTGCGCAGGCTTCCCCTTAGCAGTGGCTTCTCCTTTTGCAGAGCATGGGCTCTGGAGCACACAGGCTTCACTAGGTGTGGTGCGTAGGCTAAGTTGCTCCAAGGCTTGTGGAATCTTCCCGGATCAGGGATCAAACCCATGTCTCCTGCATTGTCAGGTGGATTCTTTACTACTGAGCCACCAGGGAAGCCCCTGGTTCCAATTTTAACTTAGTACTTACTAGCTGTGTGATCTTAGGCAAGCCACTTTATTTCTCTGAGACTTAAGTTTCCTCATCTGCAAAATGGGGATGACAAACAGGAGTCTGTCTCCCCTAGTGTTGGTTTCAATGAATTTATACTTAAGAGTATTGGCACTTAGTAAACGCTGTGTAAACAGCATTTCTCAATCTTGGCCCTGCTGACGTTCAGGACTGGATAATTCTTTGTTGTGAAGGGTCTGTCCTATGCTTTGTAGGATGATTAGCTGCATTTCCGATCTCCACCCACTAGATACCAGCGGCTCTCTGTCTCCTCCCATGCCCCCGCCCCTACTCAAGTGTAACAACCAAAAATGTCTCTAGACGTTGCCACGTGTCCCCCAGGAGGCCAAGCTGCCCCCAGTTGAGAATCACTGCTGTTGTGTGCATGTTAATCTGTTATTGCCCGGTCTTCATGGGTCTTCTGGGAGATGGCGGAGTTGCCCCCCAAATTGGGTGAATAGAAGAAGGAGAAACATGTTGGAAGGTGTAGGCTAAACAGGCAAAGACAACCTCCACCTGAAAACTAGTCTCATGAGATTTCGGATATGTTTAAATATAGTTTTGCTGATTGGGAGCAGGAATGAATCATTTTTCACAAAACATTCTTTTTAAAGCAAATACTCTCAATAAAGAATGTTTTTGTGTTATTTTTACAGCTCAGAAGTTTCGTTTAAAGAATGTGGAATGATTTTATTCTCCGTGGAGGCCTAGAAAGGGAGCTCATTAAAAACTCAAATCATGAGCCCCCGAACCTTGAGACTTGATGGGCTGTGGTGCTGGGGGGCTGTCACATGGCAGCAGAGAAACACATGCAGCTGCCCCATCCCTGGGGGGAGAGGGGGCGCAGAGCTGGTTTGCTGCTTCGAGGCTCACTGCCGGTGCCCAGCCAGCCAGGTGAGTCCCGCTGGTGCCAAGTCTCCGTACATCAGCAGCAATGAACTTACCCTGAGGGGCCTCCGCCTCCCCAGGCACGGGGCCACCTGCATCCCGCCTCTCCCTGCCACTTCCTGAGGCCCAGGAGCAGGTGGGACAGGGATGGGGGCAGACAGCGTAGGCAAGTCTCCAGAACCAACCTCAGACCCCCGTTCTGTCAGCCCCTGTGTGTCTAGTTTATGTTGTCCCATCTGTGGGAACTGGGAGCTTTCTGCAGAGGTAGGGCCTGCACTCCTCATTAAAATTCATCTCTGCCTGGCACATTGCCCTTACTTGGGGCAATCATAGTTAACCAGATATTCTGCCTGCCTAATCCTAGAGAGGGACTGGTGTCACACATTATGCCCAGTTTCTAACAATCCTGAGACAATGAAGGAAATTTGATTTTGTAAGTTGAGGGTAAAAAAAAAGATAATTAAAGATTACTTACACATCTTTACTCTGGCCCTATAGAAAGAAGAGTAGTCAGACTGGTGTGACTATGTTTCTCTTCCCACTTCCTCACATACCTTTCCTTTCAAGTTTATCCTGCGCTGGGTGTCTAGCTGGCTTTGGAGTGCTTTGGATAACTCTAGTCAATAGGAACTGTGTTTGCATTGTGTTTTCTGCTGTCAGCCTGAGCTGTTTCATCCTGTTGACTAATAGACTTTTCTAGAATATCCTCATCAGATTACATTTCTCGTATCTGAGATCAGCTACAGAAACAGACCCAAGGATCAGATGTTGGCTGCTCAAAATTCTTGATGTAGGAACGGAGTAGGTGCAGTAGCACAGATAAAGGAATGCAACTGTGGGAATAACTTAAGTCACTTGTATCACAACCTTCTGTTCATTCATTCCCTAGACAAGTACTGACCAAGTGGCCCCCATGAGCCAGGATAGAACAAAGATGGGGCCATGTTTTGAGTGAGAGTGACTTATGTTAAATGCAAAGAAAAACATCAGCTCCCATAGTTCCCACAAATAGAATTAATTGGTGGAATTATTTTTTTCCTGGCATTAAAAAAATACATATGACAGCAACAGACAATGGCTTGCAATTTCTCGTTCTTTGTGGCAGACTCACCACTTTCTTGGCAGCATCGCCTCACACACACCGCCAACTGCACTGCCAGGCTGTTGTACGTGCACACTTCAGATGTGAGTGTGTCCCCCCGCACTGGCACCATGTGATTTTAGATGGATCATCGCTTCAAAGGAGCCGTGGGAACAGTGCATGGGGTACAGAGCTGATTGTGCTTCCTCACACTCAGTTGGAGTGTCCTCTGCTTTCTGCCCGGGGAGCTCAGGCCTGGTCACCACCTCCTAGTTGTTCCCAAAAGATTGAGCTCTACTTTTCTACTACAGAAGAGAAAATCAAGTATTTACACTATTTCTCTTTAAGGACTGTAATTTTAAAAATTTTTTGTGGTAAAATGCACATAATTTAAAATTCCGCATCATCACCCTTTATAAGTGTAAGGGCTTCCCTCGTAGCTAAGTTGGTAGAGAATCTGCCTGCAATGCAGGAGATCCAGCTTCGATCCCTGGGTGGGGAAGATCCCCTGGAGAAGGAAATGGCAACCCACTCCAGTATTCTTGCCTGGAGAATCCCATGGACGGAGGAGCCTGACAGGCTACAGTCCAATAGGGTCACAAGAATCGGACACGACTTAGTGACTAAACCGCCACCACCATCAGTAGTGTTAAGTACGTTCACATTGCTGCACAAAAGATTCTAGAACTTTCTCATCTTGCAAAACTGAAACTCTGTACTCATTTAGAGGGATTTCCCTGGTAGCTCAGACGGTAAAGAATCTGCCTGCAATGCAGGATACTCGGGTTTGATCCCTGGGTTAGGAAGATTCCCCTGGAGAAGAGAATGGCAACCCACTCCAGTGCTCTTGTCTGGAGAATTCCATGGACAAAGGACTGTGGGCTACAGTCCATGGGTTCGAAAAGAGTCAGACATGACTGAGCCTGACTACCACCACTAGTATCCTCCTTTAGACCACAGTTCCCCACGCCGCCCCCTGGTGGCCACCATTCTACTTTCTTTGCCTATGCATTTGATCCTTCGAGAGACCATGTATGAGTGGAATCATACAGTATTTGTCCCTGTGTGACTGGCTTATGTCACTTAACATAAAGTCCTCAAGGTTTGCCCATGCTGTAGCCTCTGTCAGAATATCCTTCCTGTTTAAGGCTGAATAATATTCTATTGCATGTCTAGATCACATTTTGTTTATTCATTCATCTGTGGATGGACACTTGGGTTGCCTCCCCCGCCCCAAGTGCACTATTTTGAATAGTGCTGCTTTGAAAGTAATGTACAAGTATCTCTTGAGGACTTGGCTTTCAATTCTTTAAGCTGTATACTGAGAGGTGTGCTTGCTGGATCATATGATGATTTTACATTTAATCTCTTGAGGAACCATTATCCTGTTTTCCATACGGGCTGCACCATCTTACATTCCTGTCAACAGTGTACGAGGGTTCCAATTTCTCCACATTCTCACCAACACTTGTGATTCTCTGGGGTTTTGAT